AGACAAAAGGTCGCTCCAGCGAAAACATTATTTTCAAGAACTACCGCAAAAGGTATACTCCACTCACAGGAAAATAAAAAAGCATCCGACTTCTTTGAGTTAATCGACAATTTTTTCCATATTATGAATAGTGCCAAACCATACCCTCCTTCAGATAAAACTTAAAGCAGCATTTGGATTAAATGACATCATGAAAACAAATTCAAGTTTTGGAATTAATGAAGAAAGTCATTGGTGGATTAAGAGTTCAGGGAAGAGCCAACTTACTGCCTTTCCAAAAAGAATAATAATTTCAATAAATTCTCTTTTTGGCCTACACCAGGATTTGAAATTATCGTATGATGCTAAATATATTTTAACCTCTAGATTAACTCAGGATGCACTTGAAAGTCTCTTTAGTCAGATTCGAGGGCTTGGTAGGTTTAACGACCATCCATCACCTAGTGAAGTTATACGCCGCTTAAAGCAATTAATACTCGCTAATAAGCTGCCAAATTTATCTTCAAAAGTATGCATGACTAAAAGCAGAAATATTGATTCATATTTAGCATCAGAAATACTTGAAAGGGCTTTAAAAACTGAGGTGGAAGATGCTTTTCCATTAAATACTACAGTCAAAAGTCGTTAATTCGGACACCCATAATTCGGAATGATGTATACTCCGGACCTCAAAACTAAAAACTTTCTGCGCATGCGCCGCGTTGACACATGCGCATAGGCGTTTACGCGTGCACGTAAGACCTTTACGACTGCGCATATGAGTGTGCGCAAGTGCAGAATACGTTTTTTTTTTTTGCGTGCGCGTTTTATGTATAATGGACGTATAAAGCTAAAATTATCTAATTATCTATTTCAGTTAATGTTGATGATTGCGTTGTTCCTTAATTTTCGAATTGGATCCGGCTTATTATTTTTTTGCAGACTGTAAAAGCGCAATTTTATAAAAGTAAGTTTAAAACTTTCGATTATATCAAATAGAATTTCCGATATATATTTGTTAATATGTAAGGATCTAAAGCGAAAGTATGCTTGAAATCCGAAATCTGTTATCAATTTCACGCTGCTCGGCGGGGGAACGCCGCGGCGGGGGCGCGTAATGAATTGGAAGTTGATCTGTCAGCACTATCCTTATCTTCAGCGCAGATGTTTTTATTTTATTTGGCTTATAATTCCTTACCAAATGTAGTATTTCATCTCGATATGCTCCGTCTTTGATATGATTTAAAACAAGTTCCTCGTCATTATAATTTTTCGATAGCGAAGAAAGTAACAGAGGTTATTGAAAACGAAAAAATTTCGATTGACAAATTAGTCGGTGTTCTCGACACAGCAATTATAGGACTTGAACAGCGGAACTTTGTAACTAAACAAGAAATTATGTCTGTTTAATAGAATAAAAGAGAAAGTATTATCACATGAAACGAAGCAACTTTGAAATAAATGTTTAATAAAGTAAACAAATAAATATTAAGCTTTTTCTTTTTGCAAATTTTGATACCGTTTAGATCATAATTGTTCTTTATTTCATAAATTACGGTTTCATATTTTTAATTTTAGAATTTCTGCATGCCATCTTACGAAATTTAAACTGATGATCTATAATCCGGAAAAATCGATAATCCGGAATCGCCGAAGTCCCGACGAGTCCGGATTAACGACTTTTGACTGTATTGATGATTTGGATTTGGATTTCATAGAGGAACCTTCTCCTATGGCTTGGGAATTAGAATTGAATTCCGACAGACAATTTTCGACCGTCGAAAAAGAAGCATTAACATATATTGCAGGTTATATTGCCTATCGTGTGCGAGACAAAGACCCATCATTGGGAACAATATCTAAAAATAGTGCTGATGAACCAATATTTAATTCAGAATGGATTAAATTATTGTCCTTAGGAGGTTTGAGTACACCTTCTCATTCATGGATGAATACAGTTTATAAGTTCGAAAACATATTTTGTGCACTTCATGGTACAACTTACTATAAAGGGAAGCATGTAATTGGCTCTTTAATTAATAAACTGGAGAAACATTATCCTGAAGTTAACAGAGAAGCAATTCGTTTATTTTGCAGAGTGCGAAATTTTATTAGAATACGTTTCTTAAATAGAAATGCATATGTTTTTTCCCCAAAGAAAAGCAACCCAAAAGTCAAAAAAATGGATTGCTCCGAATGTGGCAGCCAATAAATAATGTTTCAACAACTTGTAGTTGCATTGCGACTGTACAAGTAAGCATATATAATATGTTTTGATTTGAAATATTTCTAGGTGACATTTTAAAAGTTAATAGCGTAAAGCATATTTCAAATGAGAACTAATTCTGTTAAGTTATTGTTACAGTTATTTTTATTGTATCCTCTGTTATTATTGATTCGATTTTGTGCTAGCTTAGCATTCTAGATAAAATATACCGCGTGGCCATAATTAAACTGACAGTGCTCACAGTGTTCTGTAGCGCGATCTATTTTCGAGAATGACGCCACATTTTGTAGGAAGATTAAACAAGACGGGGGACGAAGGATTCCGCGAAAAATCAAATTAGTTCCAAAAGTCACCGCTACGGGATTATTTGGCGCTGTGTAATATAAAATAGAGTGTTAACAAATGCATATTAATACGGAATAAAATTACCTTTTATTAGGCACATTTTCTGATTTAGTTCAAGTGCAATATGGCAACACTTTTAAATAAGCGTAAAATCTACATAAACACCGATAAAGTCTCGTGATCTGCAATATCACGCACGCTGAGCAGAAGAAGAAGTTCTTTATTCAAATTTCACGTTACATCCATTCGCACAGTGCCAGCTGCTTGGGTTTTAAAAGGCAATGTGTTACGTTTCGAAACAATCGGATTGAAAGTTTATGTGCAAGTTCTCCTTTAGTCGAACGTACGTTACTGGTCAAATTCTTTTACCTCAACCAGTGCAACGCGTCAGCCGCTCTTCGTACTTTTAGAACGGCCCAAAAATGCGTAAAGGTAACGGTCCTGTGTCAGTTAATGGGCTAAATGCAATGGTTTCGACGTTTGAGAAAACAGGTTCTCTGAAGGTTCAGTCAGGCAGAGGACGAAAACCTGTACCACAGGATACAATCGAAGCAGTTGCCACAACGATTGTCGACAGAAAACCAGACAATATTGCTGCCACCTCTAGCGCTCGTGGAATAACTCGGAATATAAATATGCCTTACAGTACGGTATGGAAAATCTTACGAAAGATTACCAAATTCTATCCGTACAAGATCAGCCGTGCACAGGAGTTACTGTACCTCGACCATGATAAGAGATTGACTTTTGCTCTCACCTTTCTTGCCAGAATGGAGGTAGATGATGCTTGGTCGTGGAAATTCTTATGGGGAGACGAGGCCCACTTTTACCTGAATGGAACTGTGAATACCCAGAACTGCCGAATTTGGGATGACAAACCAATACATGCAGTCACAGCAATTCTTTTACATTCACCAAAGGTAACTGTTTGGTGTGGTTTCACAGCAGAATTTATCGTAGGTTCATTCTTATATGAGAACATTACCCCGACAGGACCGGAAATCTGTTCTGTTACCGGAGAGAGAGAAATATCGCCACATGTTGAACAGCTTTGTCATTCCGGCACTTCAGCAAAGACAATGCCTGGGAGAAAATCATTTTCATGCAAGATGGAGCCCCTCCACACGTTGCTGCACGGGTGCAACAGGTGCTACGACAGAAATTCACAACAGAAAGAGTCATTAGCCGCTACTTTCCAACTGCATGGCCACCATCTTACCCCATGCGACTTCTGGCTATGGGGTTACCTTAGGTCCAAGGTCTATCAAGGAGTGGTCCAGGACCTGGCTACGTTGAAGGATAACATATCACGAACTGTACGGGAGATTCCTGCAGACATGTTACTTTCTGCTGTTGTGCATACTGTACACAGAATGCAATATGTTGTCCACAACAACGGCAGCCACATCGAACCTCATTTGAATTTAAAATAAAAGGTAATTTCCGTATTGATTTGCATTTGTTAAACTCTATTGTCTATTAGACAGCGCCAAATATTTCCCTAGCGGTGACTTTTGGAACTAATTTGTTTTTTCGCGGAATCCTTTGTCCCCTGTCTTGTTTAATCCTCCTACAAAATGTGGCGTCATTCTCGCAAATAGGTCGCGCTACAGAACACTGTGAGTACTGTCAGTTTAATTATGGCCACCCTTTATATAAAGTATAACATTAAAGTATGGCATAAGAAGACTGCCCCTTAACTCCCACTTAAGAAATTAAATATTTTTTAGGGAGAGTAAAGTTGTTTTGTGTAAATTAATAACAAACTTAATGCATTTATTTAAATGTAATATTGACGTAAGCCTAAGTTACAAAATTATTAAAAAATATATGTTATTATATTGAATCGGGAGAAAAATATGCCAATGTAAAATTACAATTAGGCTGAAACTCAAACTTAGATTAGCAGAAATTTTGAAAACCATGCTAATATTAAGATTGTTTTTTGATTAATTTTAAATAGCTGTTATTATAGTTATCTTAGAAGCAGTAGTACAGTTCTCTTAGTTAACATGCAACAAGAGCATTTAATAAAGACAAAAAAAAAAAAAAATTTTTTTAAAAAAAAAACTTTATGCTAAGAGTAGCGCATTTTATCTGTTATTTTAAAATTGAGTAAGTACTATTAAATTTTTTAATGTTCAGTGTAAAATGCATACTGCAGTAACATTGTCTCTTCCAAATTATAACTATCTTTCACACACAGCTCATTTTAAACGCTGGTTCTTCAAATTTAAACGCTAATTTCTATGTTGTCAATTGCATCTCCGCGCTCAGGGTCATCATGTGTACGTCATCACTCCCCACTTCCTGTTTCAGGGGGAAAAGTTCTATGAGCTGGCCCTTCTCTTTTAAGTCCTGCTTCGCACCTAAGTTAGAATTTTTGCCCTGCGGGCAGAAAGACTTAGCAGATGCATAATACTTTGTATATCTATTTGTATTGCGATTGAGACGTTAAAATAAACAGTTTTGTAATATAAATTCTTGTTAAATTTTCATTCCCTACCGCATAATATTTCACAAGTGTCTGCGGCGAAATGTAAACTCTGCTGAGCGTTTTATTGCATTGAGCCGTTCTCAAGTCAGAAAAATACAACTGATATTATATTTTTTGTCTAAATTATGAAAGCAGCCGAAAGCATCATACAAAGAAGGTGCAAGTGTTAACCTTTAGCACAGAAATTTTGCGTGAACTGTGCATATGGGAAATACTTCATAATACTCTAATTTAAATACTTATATTTCTAAGGGATGCTACATCAGGTGCACTAATTTTCTTACTCAAAATCGTATTTAAGTCAAGAACAATATGTACTGAATAAACAGATGAAATTGATATCAGAAATAGCATGTGGAAAGTGTTAAGCATTGCATAAACGCCCTGGAGCAGCTTGAACTTCGTCTGAGGTAACATAAATCACATAAAGGTTGAATATATTCTTTGGCCAAAACCATATTTGTATGAAATGCAGAATTTTTAATGACATATTACTGAAAATCGTGTCATATTTGCATCACACAACAGATGAATTTCATGTGTAATGTTATTTGTGGTTTTCAGAAATATAATTGCAGCATATTTGTACAGTATACAGAAAACTAGTGTGAAGCATCTAAAATTTCATTTGACTATTCATGCAGAGCATGAATACCATTCCAAGGCATGTAGGAGATCAGGATATCAAAGCTGTTTGAATTAAACTTATGAGAGAAATGACATTTGTGTAACAAGTTATTTAAATAAAAAAAAGTAATTTAAACAAGCATAATGTTTCTGTACACAGGAGACAAGCCTTATATGTGTGAGGTTTGTAACAAATCTTTTAAACGGAAGAGTGCATTAATCAAGCATACAATTATTCATACAGGAGAAAAACCTCATGTGTGTGAAGTGTGTAACAAGTCATTTGCACTAAAATGTTATTTGAAGGTACACATGCTTGTCCATACAGAAGAGAGACCATATGCATGTGTAATATGCAACAAGTCATACAGACGAAAGAGTAATTTAAAGGAGCACATGCTTATCCACACAGCAGAGAAATCTCATGTCTGTGAGGTGTGTTACAAATCATTTCGAGGAAAGAGCGATTTAAATAAGCATATTCTTATTCACACAGAAGAGAGACCATATGTATGTGTAGTTTGTAGCAAATCATATAGACACAAAAGTAATTTAAATCAGCACATGCGTATCCACACAGGAGAGAAACCTCATGTTTGTGAGATCTGCAACAAGTCATTTAGTGAAAAAGGTGAGATGAATAGACATATCCTTATTCACACAGGAGAAAAGTGCTTTGAATGTGAAATATGTACCAAGTCTTTTAAACAGAAAGGTGAATTGAAGAAGCATATGTTTGTTCATACAGAAGAAAAACCTCATGTGTGTGAGGTGTGCAATAAGTCATTTGGAGTAAAGGGTAATTTGAAGGTACACATGCTGGTTCATACAGAAGAGAGACCACATATATGTGTAGTATGTAACAAATCTTATAGACGAAAAGGTAATTTAGATGAGCACATGCTTATTCACACAGGAGAAAAACCTCATATGTGTAAAGTGTGTAACAAGTTATTTAGAAAAAAAGATGAAATGAACAGGCATATTCTTATTCACACAGGAGAGAAACCTTATGTGTGTGAAGTATGTAATAAGCCATTTAGACAGAAGAGAAGTTTGAAGGCACACGTGCTTGTTCACACACAAGAGACACCATATACCTGTACAGTATGTAATAAGTCATTTAGAGAAGAAGGTAATTTAAATGAGCACATGCGTCTTCACACAGGAGAAAAACTCCATATCTGTGATGTATGCAAGAAACCATTTATAAAAAAGAATAAGTTAAAGTCTCATATGCTTGTTCACACAGAAGAAAGACCTCATATGTGTGGGATATGTAACAAATCATTTAAACATACAAATTATTTAAATCGGCATATGCTTATCCATAGCTGAGAAAAATCTGACATGTGTGCAGTGTATAATAAATCATTTTGATGAAAAAGTAGTTTGAAGACACAACATACTTGTCTATACTGAAAGCAAACTCGGAACTACTCTGATATGCGCCCTCAAGTCGCCAAATATTTTTGGCGAGAAACTTCACGCTGCCATATTACTATCTAAATTTTTTGTCTACATTTTGAACTTTTAGCCTAAAATGTCTCCAAAAACGCGGTTTTTGCTCATGCAAAAACTATGTTTTGAACACACAATTTAGCTAAAAATCCGAAACAAAAACAAAAAATTTAGATAGCAAAAACGTAAAGTTTCTAACCAAAAATATTTGACAAGAATCCATGTACACAGCGACATGTTTTAACTTAAAAAAACATCTACGAATTGCACAATGTAGGCATTGAACGAATCTACAAACTACGCACACCTCGCTTTAATAAATTAACATAACAACAATAAATTTCAAAGAATACCATCTACACAGCATCCTGTTTAAACTTAAAAAAAATTCTACGAATTGCACAATTACCATGTACACAGCATCCTGTTTAAACCAAATGAATAACCAAATAAAAGAATACCATGTACACAGCATCCTGTTTAAATTTAAAAAAACTTCTACGAATTGCACAATTTAGGCAAGGAAGGAATCTACGATCTACGCACTCCTCGCTTTAATAAAATAACAACAATAAATTTCAAATAATACCATGTACACAGCGTTCTGTTTCAACTTTAAAAAACATCTACGAATTGTACAGTCTAGACACTAAACAACAAAATAAACTAAAATAAATTTCAAACAATTTAAAAAAACAACAATAACGACAGAAATTCATACTAAAGAACCAATGAACATAACATTCTACAAAATAAGAACAAGGATAAAATAAAATGCACTTACCATGAATTAATGCATTTTCGAATAGCAGAAATATAAATTTCATACTGCCTTTAACATGCCGCCACGTAATCACTATCATATTTACATGACAGCCAGACACACTATCCAGAAAATTTATACTATAGTTTCACAAATAAATAAAATCACAAATCCCTACTTCTATCATGCACTGCCATTAAAAATAATCTTCCAGACCCTCTTTCCACACTTCCAAATACCCACTACCCCTCAACAGGATAACCACAATCATATTTCCTTTTGCCGAACTTCAATTCAACAACTACCATTTTATCTTTCCCTCCCATCTTCTCAGACACAGAGGCGAACCAACGAGCTCCAGCGAAAGATTTTTCAACGTCAACAGGGTTACTATAGAACATGCAATCGTGCCAAAAACCAGCGCAGAATATATATCGCCACATTTGGTGAAATTAGGGCGTATATTAGAGTTGTACCACAAACTCTATATATCACTTCTTTTGGAGTAAATTTAGTAATAATAATAACATTTGTTTATTCATCTAAGTAATAGTTCCTCCATATAGCAAAGGAACTTCATCAAGTAAAGATGTGTAATATGCCATTCTAGTAAATACTTAGGGTTTATTTATTCACAGAAAATAAGTAGTATGCAAGATGAGTCGGTAATGATTTCAAAGAAAGCTGTTTTAACGCAGTATTAGCTTATCCATTGTTTATAACAAGTCTTTCTGATAAAGGAAGAAATTAAGACTGATTTGCTCATCAGAGGAGATGATAATACAAGACATGTCTCTTTATTTATTTTTTCCCCAAAAGTAGAGTTTTTTGCATTGGATTTCACTTTTCACATTTTATAAATAATTCAAAAGCATGAAATATTCGGTTTTGTGATATCCTCTTTAGAACTGGAGCAAAGCATATCTGTTTAACGTAGACCATTATCAAAGGAAATATCACAAAAGACTTAATTTATCCTGATCAAAATATTCAGGTATCTTGTGTTCTTTTAATACATTTCCAAGAAATATACTTTAATCTTTCATATAGCGATTCTTCCTTTACTGTCCCTTCCACCCCCCCAAGAAAAAAAGCTTTAACACTTTCATCATTACAGACAAGATATCTCATGTTCTAAGAGTATTCACTGAGTGGTAGCAATAAAATAATTTGTTCTCTGTTAAGGTTTTTTTCATATCTGTTCAAGGTTTTTTCATATTATTGTTGTGTGTCCAGCGATCTTTTCATTAACTTTTCAGTGCATCCCACTCTATACTATTTTGTTTTCACAAAATGTACAAAGAGTAAGAGTAAGACATAAGCATGCCACTGCTGCAATGAAATATGTTATAAGTGTTCATCCATTTCAAAGAAGGTACAGTAAAAGCCCAACTATCCAGCAGTCAGCTAACCAGGATAATTTAGAATTTAAAAACTCCTCCTATTCTTTGATAAAGCAAGCAAATAAGGAAGATTTGTAAAACACGTACTGGAGACTGTTGCTAAACAGTATAATTTATCTTGAATAATAGATAAGCATAATTAACCTTTTAACTGTCATGCCCGAGATAATCTCGGGCATTGCACTGATGTTCGAAAATGTCACGCCCGAGTATAACTTGGGGTAATTTTTTTTTTTGAGTGCCTCGTATTGTTATACCCGAATATATATCGGGAGACGTTTATTTCGGCTTCATCTCTCTGTCAAACCTGACTACATCTCGGGAAAAGTTAATGTGTGCTCAATTCAATAGATGACAGCACTTTACTGAAGATTTATTTTATTTTATACTAAACATTTGATTTTTGCAATAAAAAAATGTGACAATTTGTGTACCCAAATCATCAAAATAATTTGACAGTTAAAGGGTTAAGGCACAATAACACACCGAACAAATACTAATTCAGAAGTCAAACAACAAAAATCAGCATTACATTTTCAAATTTTCACAGGACTACTTTCGATGGTTTTACCGAACCAGCATCCTCAAGTGCAAAAGCGCAAATGAATGAGATAGGATATGATTATTAGATAAGATAAGAAAGCCTGGACGGAAAATAAGCTAGTGGCACCATCTGTTGATGAAACCAGAACTAAAACATAATTTCTTTAAAGGCCGAAGGCAAAGATGGATTGGAATTAGAAATTTTAGAAAAATTATTCAAAAAACATCTTCCATTGGAGAACTGGATTTTCTAGAGGCATTTCACATTCAAAAAAATCTTTCTGTTCTAGTTAACAATCCTAATTCCAATTCATCTTTGCCTTCGGCTTTTAAAGAAATTATGTTTTAGTTTTGGTTTCATCAACAAATGGCACCACTATCTTATTTTCTGTCCAGGCTTTCTTATCTAATCATTATATCCTATCTCGTTCATTTGCACTTTTGCAGCTGAGGATAGTGGTTTGGTAAAACCATCGAAACTAGTCCTGTGAAAATTTGAAAATATTACGTTGATTTTTGTTGTTTGACTTCTGAATTAGATAAGCATAGTTTCACGCCAAAGTCATAAGATCTTTTTCATATTGGTTTTTATTGGTTATTTAAACAGTACAGAACTTGGAAATAACAGAACCATTTTTTAAAAAAAATTGACTTGCCTTATCGTTTTTCAGTATTGAAAGAGGACAGGCTCTGTAAAAGTGATCTGGCACATTCTGTCATTTTTAGCCTAAAGCTAAACATCTCTTTCATGGAAGTCTTAATCAGGCATACCTTTCTTACCGTTTTGCTGATCATGCCATCTGCTTAAGATTACCTAAAAAGTTAACAGTAAGAGAACTAAACTGTTATATTAAAACTTTTTTATTAATACTCTGAGCAGCACAGGTTTATGAATCCATTATGAAGACCTGTATATAAAAAGCCTTTATTAGCTAAATTTGTATATTTACTTATTTTAGTCTCTATTTTTCATAAACTTACATTTATTAAGATGACATTTAAGGTTTAATCCTAGTATCCGGTGCACATGGGATTTGGCTACTTTTGGCGACTTCTATGATGAGCAGTAAAAACGATACATATACGATGAGTAGTAAACAGGTCATTCAAAGAATATATATAGTTATACATAGTATATACTATGTATATAGTGATAGTGTATAGTATACTCATAGACGTTCTTTGGGTCATTTGTGGTGTTGGCGATAATTTTCAAAATCGTGCCAAGGCTGCACTGTATACTAGGATTTTACCGACATTTATATTATTAAAAAAAGTAAAAGCAAAATATCTTAAATTATAAGCTAATGTATACCAAGTGACGAAAAAAATTCTCATGACCAGGTAAAGCCGGTCATGGTAAATAGGGAGTCAAGAAAGTAGTTTGAATCTTTTATAAAAACTAAATCTGCGTTCTGAAAGAGGGTAAGGCATTAAATTCTAGCTACGTCTTCAATTATATCTAAGCTACACTTACTAACTGACATGCATTGAGTTGTACAGAGCATTTGTAACAGACAAATCTAAAATTGTTTTTTAAAGCTTTAAGTTTGATGTTATGGCAATTTCTGTAACTACTTTGATAAGTTTGTAACAAAGAGTAAATATGATATCGATTTACTAAATTTTGAATAGTTTGTATTCTGTTTAATTATTAATATCTCTTCTGTTTGTTAAATAAAAATATTGCTCTTTTTTTAGAGTGTATTACAAATGTACTGAAAAGGATTTAGATATAAAAGCAGTGTGATCTACACATAATTAATTTAATATTTATAAATGTTGCTCATTGTACAAAAAAATTATACAGTATTTCGCCTAATCTTTGGAATATGGTAACAGGTATTTTGGCGACATTTTGGTAAGGCGATAAAGGTTACTAGCTAGGACTTTAGAAGTATACATGGATAAAGTCAAGAGTGTGCGCAATGCCATTTTTGTGCAATTCTGGGATGTTTTTTTAGGTAAAAGTAGGTCGACATGTACATGGATACCGTGTATGTGCAATTCTTAAAAACGCGGCAAGCAGTGGGCGATTCTGCACTTTCTCCCAATTTTGCACCTAATCTTCGTCATGATTAAGCACTTTTGTTCCATAAAAGTTCTAGCATAAGCGTAATTTGGCTAGCAGATTGTTGGAAAAAACGTTGAGTAAAAAAAAAAAAAAAAAAGCCTTTGTTTTGTGAAAACAAAATGGCATCCAAAAAAAAAAAAAAAAAAAAACTAGCAGGTTGCTGTAGCAGGGTTGGTTGCCAAAAAATTGCCAAGTTACCATAATCCGAAGATTAACCATATTTCCTATTTACGGTTCACTATAGATATGGTATACGTTATATATATCAGATTAGGCTTTTGGTATCAAATGGG